GGCACCCCGCTCTGCGGGCACAGCGTCTCTGGAGGGCACAGCGTCTGGTCGGCCAATCACCCTCCTCCCTTCCCTCCGCCTCCTCCTCCTCCTCCTCCTCCTCCTCCTCCTCCTCCTCCTGCTCCCTCCTCCTCCTCCTTCGCTCCTCCTCCCCTTCTCCTCCTCCTCCTCCTGCCGCCTCCGCCTCCGACTTCCTCCCCTCCTCCTCCTCCTCCTCCTCCTCCTCCTGCTTCCCTCCTCCTCCTCCTCCTCCTCCTCCTCCTCCCTCCTCCTCCTCCTCCTCCTCCTCCTCAAGGATACTCCATGAGTTGTTGATGGAATTTGAGGTTCTCGCCTGTTGGGGTTTCCTCACAAGAGGGCCCCCAGATGGCCCTGAAGCGCTCCAAGATGGCACCAAGACAGCCCTGAGAGGCTCCCAAGACGGCCTCCGAAGGCGTCAGACAGGCAAAGAGTCTCCTTAGACGGCCCAAGAAGCCACAAGAAGCCCCCAGGAGGCCCCTAGAGGCCCCCAAGGGGCCCCAAGAGGCCCGCAGGAGGCTCCCAGGATGCCCCAAGAGGACCCCAAGAAGCCTTCTCCTTCTCGTCCTCATTATCTCCCTCTCCTCCTCCTCCTCCTGCTACTCCTGCTCTTCCTCCTCCTTCTCCTCCTCCTCTTCCTCCTCCTCCTCCTCCTCCTCCTCCTCCTCCTCCTACCCATCGTGCGGACGGAGACGAGGTAAAGATCACAACCCTCCCCAATTCAAACCACTCGCTGAACTGCCTCCTTCCTACCGCACGGACGAATACGAGGTCGAGTTCACGACCCGTCCCAATTCAGACCACTCGCAAGAACTGCGCTGTTCCTACACGCAGCCTCCTCTCTGCTGCGCTGGTGCACAGGCACGGTGGCGGGGTTTGCAGCAGGCAGCTGGATACAGTCAAAAACCCTAACAAGGACGCGCGGTAAGGACGCAAGACCCTTGGAAGCCGAAGTTGGGATTTTTGGGGCGGCGGGCGACGAAAACCCCAAGGACGCAAGAGCAAGGAAGAGCAAAGACGCAAGGGTACCCTGAGCAAAGTCGCGCGTCCTTATTAGGGTTTTTGACTGTACGCTGCTCCGGGTCCTTCACGTTGGAGTCCGAAGCTTCGCTGCGCTACGGGTGCGTGCGTCCCGAGAGGAGGTGCGTCACACACCAGAGGCCCCCAGAACGCTACAGCCCCCTCAGAGACCTTACAGAGCCTTCCATTCTCATCAGATTCCTGGCCGTCATCATCATCATCAGCAGCATCGGCATCATCATCATCATCATCATCATCATCAGCAGCAGCGTCATCAGCATCATCAGCATCATCATCATCATCATCAGCAGCATAATCATCAGCAGCATCATCATCAGCATCATCATCAGCATCATCAGCATCATCATTATCACCATCATCATCACCAAAACGCCAACAAACCTTGCCAAAAGAACGAGATCCCCCATCCCTCCCGCCATCTGTGCTCGCACCATCCTCCCTCCTCATCCACTTTCTAGAATTCCAAGTTGGGCTGTCCTGCGAGTTGATGCTGTTCATCTCCATCGAGTCCGCGTCGAGCTTCTCGAGAACCTGCCATGGATTCAGTTGGACTGAAAAGAATGTCGTGTACGTCAAGGACTACTCCTGTCTTCTGGGATTCATGGAATTAGGTTTCAGGATGGGTCAGTCTGGGACCTGGAGTTAGTTGCTGAAGTTGTGCTAGGACATCTTCACGATAGACGTTGCCGACGCACGTTGCTTCAAGTTTATGCTGATAAAAACTACAATGTTCCAGGGTGTAGGGGTTCCCTTGTCTCAGGGGTACGGAAGCTGTAGGGAGCAAGACGTTCTAGGGTGTATCCAGCTTGCAAGAGGCGGAGGTGGGATGTCTTTCAGTGGTTTCGCCAAAAAAACTAAAGGGGCACACAGGACCTCCAGGTGGCTTGACGCGGAATCGGTGTTTTTTGCCCTTGGTTTCGGGGAGATGAAGGGGAACGCATCCGCAGACATCAACTCACCACCTCACCGATCCCGGCCAGGTCATTCATTCCCTTGGCCAGGATCGATGGCCCTGGATCGGCCCAGCCAGGATCGTGTACTGGTCGGTCGTTGAAGGCCCAGCCAGGATCGTTATCGGTGTACAGTTTGAGACCTCCCATCTCAGCTGCAACGTAGAAACATGTCAAGGAAACTCTAACGTGCTCTAACGAATTCAATGTGAGGTGCCGTGGTTGCGGGTGGAGTTGGCAGCTGGCCGCTTGTCTCGTCGCCCGCTAGGGGGAAACAAGAGATGGGTGGAGCAGTCCAGATGTATGATCCCGAGGTGCGAACCTTGTACACGTGCCCCAGGATGGCGGGTGGGGAGAGCAAAGGAAAACATGGGGGGGATTAGAGAAAGTGGGCGAAAGAAAGGAGGGGGAAGCTGGGGAGTTGAAGCACGGGTTGGGAGACGAAGGAACATTGTATCAAGTGGCCGACGACGACGGCGACGGCCAACACGAATACGGCAATCGAAGGTTAATCGAAGAAGACGACGACGACAACGACGATGACGATGACGATGACAATAACCATGAAACATGACCATGACGATGACGATGACGATGCGGATGACGATGTTGATGATTATAATGATGATGATGCTGATGGTGATGATGACGATGTGATGATGATGCTGATGATGATGATGGTGTGATGATGATGACGGTGGTGGTGGTGATTGTGAGTGTGATGGTCATGATGATACTGATAGATAAGGATACCGATGGTGATGATGTTGGTGATGACGATGCTGGTGATGGTGTTGTTGATGATGATTCTGCTGGTGATGACGATGATGGTGATGATGATGGTGGTGAAAAGGATGACGATGCTGACGACGACGATGATGATGGTGTTGGTGGTGGTGGTGACGATGGTAATAAATATAAGGACAATGGAAATGGTACTAATGATGATGGTGATGATGTGAATGAGGATGATGACGATGGTGATGATGATGGTGATGAAGATGATAAAGATGAAGCTGACGATGAAGATGAAGATGGAAGTGATGATGGCGATAAGGATGACGATGAGGATGAGGATGAGGAAGAGGAAGAGGAAGATGATGATGATGATGATGATGATGATGATGATGATGATGATGATGATGATGATGATGATGATGATGATGATGGTGATGGTGGTGATGATGATGATGGCGATGGTAATGATAAGGATACGTATGCTGATAATCGTGAGGACGACGACGACGACGACGACGACGTTGGCGGCGGCGACCCTCGCCGAGCCTCGGACAGGTCGCTCAGCAGCGGCGTCCGGTCCTCGCGCGAGAGGTCGAACGACACCCTCGTGTCAGACCACGTCTTCTTGATAGCCGCCTCCGGGGGGAGCCCCCATTACTTCCCCTATGCCGAGCCGGAGCCCCACGCGCGGGCCACGAGGAGGCGGCCCGCGAGAGCCCCGCCTCCGCCGAGCTCGGACGGGGGCTGCTCGCGACAAAACACCGGCGGGACACCGCGGGCCACCGGACGCGGGTCCGGAATCATTTGGTCCGGCCGCGCCTCAGCCGGAGGCGGGAGACAGGCGGGACACCGCGGGCCACCAGACGCTGGTCCGGAATCATTGGTTCGGCCGCGCCTCAGCCAGAGGCGGGACACCGGCGGGACACCGCGGGCCACCGGACGCTGGTCCAGAATCATTGGTCCGGCCGCGCCTCAGCTACAGGAGACTTTCTTCTCGCCCGCCCACGCAGCTTCGCCTCGCCCGCACGCACGGCACGTACGAACACGAAACCGAAATCGACTTCCCGGTAGGGGGGCTCTCCGTTCTACTTCGATCTCACCCCCTCACCTCCGATACATACCTTCGTTTTGTCGCACCCCGAAGTCAGTTTTTAGGGCGGGCTGGGCGTTTGGCTTGAGATTTCCTCACCATTTACGATCCTGAAGCTTAAACACTGACAACAGTTTCACATATGGAGGGCAGGTGGTTTTCAAAATGTAGCTCTCGCCTTAGCACCGCGGGCATTCGTTTCCAATGTTTGCCAGATGATCACGGATTGAAGGCGGGTCGTCTTCAAAATGTGGTTCTCGCCTTAGCGCCGCGCACATTCGTTTTCAACATGTGCCAGAGCTTCACGGATTCAGGGTATGTGGTTTTCAAAATGTGGCTCTCGGTTTAGCGCCGCGCACACTCATTTTCCAACATCTGCAAGAGCTTCACGGATTGAAAGCGGTTCCTTTTCAACATGTGGCTCTCGCCTCAGCGCCGCGTACATTCGTGCTAAAAATAACAGGTTCTCGCGGATTCCCATGATCGGCGTACCAGAAATAGCGTTTTGGAAGGATTTAGACTATTAGGGCGCAGCAGTCATGATGATTCGCGGTGGTGAAGTCCCATGAATCGAGTTCTGGGACGATTCAGGATCGCCAGGACGCAACAATCAGGTTTATCCGTGGCGTTGCAATACCGAGAACAATGCTTTGGCATGCTTGAGGGTCTGCAATCGGCTGTCTTCCAGCGAGGCAGGTCCCTCTGTGGAAATGAACGGTTGTAGGGGCCTCTGAGGAGGGAGCTTGGGGGGAGGGTTTATTCCAACATCGTTGGCGACTCTCTTGGGTTTACACTGGTCCTCCTCTTCCTCCTCCTCCTCCTCCTCCTTATCCTCCTCCTCCTCCTCCTCCTCCTCCTCCTCCCCCTCCTTCTCCTCCTCCTCATGCTCCTCCTCCTCCTCGCCATCCTCCTCCTCCTCCTTCTCCTCCTACTCCTCCCTCCTGTTCCTGCTCATCCTCCTCCTCCTCCTCCGCCTCCGCCTCCTCCACCGCCTCCTCCTCGTGTTCATAATTGTATTACTAGTATATGTTTTCTTCGTGTGATTAATCGTATCAGTAGTCTTAGTATTATTAGTTGTATCAGTATTAGCAGTAGCAGTATAATTCATAGTCCTAGTCTTCTTCGCATTTTAAGTATCATTACTATTCTTAAATGTTGATTATTCTTCGTCTGCTCGGTATTAGTACTAGTAGTATTCCTCCTCCTCCTTCTCCTCCTTCTCCTCCTCCTCTTCCTCCTCGTCCTCCCCCTCATCCTCTTCCTCCTCCTCCTCCTCCTCCTCCTCCTCCTCCTCCTCCTCCTCCTCCTCCTCCTCCTCCTCCGTACCATCCTTCTCGTCCTCCTTCTCCTCCTCGTTTCGTTTCGGCTCGGGTCTGCCCGAGCGATCCCCAGCGAGAGCGCGACTGAGGCGCACATCCACGCTCAACTCCAAGAGAATGATTGACGCATGGCCAGGCGTGCAGTCGAGGGCGGCGGGTTGCGAGGAAGGACCAGAGAGAGAATGGCAGAGACAAGTCCGCCTCCTTCTCCTCCTCCCTCCGCCCTCCTCCCCCCGCCTCTTGCGCACCAGAAAGCTCGCGCTTCACCCCACCTCCTCCTCCTCCTCCTCCTCCTGACTCCTACCTCCTGACTCCTCCCCTCCTCCTCCTCCTCCTCCTTCTCCTCCTCCTCCTCCTCCTCCTCCTCCTCCTCCTCCTCCTCCTCCTCATGCCTCCTCCTCCTCCTCCTCGTCCTCCCCCTCCATCCTCCCTCCATCCTCCCTTCCATCTTCCCCTCCATCCTCCCTCCATCCTCCGCCCATCCTCCCTTCCATCCTCCCTCCGCCGCGATCCGATGCAGGCGCGGCGGGGCCAGCTTCTTCTCGATCTTGTACTCCCGCTGCGACTGGTCCACGATCTCACCTGCGCCCCAGCGGCCGCACAGCGGGCGGCTCTCCCCCTCGGCGACGCGCACCCGGGCGGCGGCGGAGGCGCCCACAGGGCCGTGGCTATAAGGGGGCCGAGCGCCAACGCGGGAGATCCACACAGACCTCTGAAAAATTCTGCTTGTGCCATGCGCGGCTGTTCTGGAGCATGTTCTTATCATTCGCGATAACGCCCGCGACCGGCCCCGCCTCCCCCCCCCCCGATCACGTCACGAACTCGCGCTGGCGCCGTTTGGGAACTGGCCATTCCTGAGCATTTCCAGACAGCGTCGGCGCGAATCGTGAAAAGATCCGCCCTCTCCCCCCCCCCCTCCCCCCCCCCCCTGGTCACGCCCGTGACCGCCAGGGGATAAGAAACTGTCTTCTGAGAGGAGGTGGGGGAGGAGGAGGAGGAGGAAGCCACTGAGTACAAAAAAATCTCTGACAGCACAAACGAATTCATACACACGCATGTGATGCAAACACTCCGCTGGGCTTAAGGAAGGCGTATGGTGCTGTCCTTGTCGGGCAGGCTTCCGGTGCCTGAGCCCTTGAGGTGTGGAAGGTTAACTCGGGCATATCCCCCTACTGGCGGATTTTGGACAAAAAAATCAAAATACCCAAACATAATCCCAAAATATTCAAAATTGGCACACACACACACACACACACAACACACACACACAAAAAAAAAAAAAATGTCTCCTGACGATGTTTTTGCTATTTTTGAATATTCCTCCTGTAGGGGGACAGGCCCGACTTAAGCGTGTGGTGCCCTTCCGTGCCCACCCCGTCCTGCACACAGGGACTTCGCACCCCCGCGCATGTCCTCCATACAGGCGGATGTTGCAGGAAAATTCCAAAATAGTCAAAAAAATCCAGAAATGGCCAAAAATAGTTCACAAAAATCGTCCCCTGCTTTTTTTTGACTCTTTTTGCATATTCCTCAAGGGCTCAGACGCTGGAAGCCTGCCCGACAAGGACGATACCATACGCCTTCCTGAGCCCAGCGAGGTGTTTGCATCACATCACGGATGTATGAATTCATCTGTGCTGTCAGAGATATGTGTATTCAGTGGCGTCCTCCTCCTCTTCTTCTTGTTATCAGTATTATTGTTAGTATTATTGTTATTCTTCCAAGTATTATTACTGTTATTAGTATTCTAAGTATTATTCCTCTTGGTATTACTACTAGTATTAATGGTATGATCCTGATTGTTAGTATGATGATGGATCTTCTTATTATTCTTCATTTTCGTATTATTACCGTTATTATGTTTTACTACTAGTGTTAATACTAGTTGTATTCTTTGTAGTATTAATAGCATTAGTATTATTATTGCGCGTTGTATTACTATTACCAGTTTAAATAAATATCATTATTACCATGTTTCTGAATAGTCTTATTATCAGTATTGTTCCTCTTATTATTGTTATTGTTATTGTTGTGTTAATTATTCGTGTTCGCATTACTCTTATACTTCGTATTACTATTCTTCATTTCAGTATTATCAGTCTTATTCTGATTATTCTTATTATCATTGAATGATTATTCTTATCATTACCAGTATTATTCTCATTATCATTATGATAATTATTCTTCCTCCTCCTCCTCCTCCTCATCATCATCATCATCATCAACATCATCATCATCATCATCATCATCATCATCATCATCATCATCAACATCATTATCATCAGCATCATCATCATCATCGTCATCGTCATCGTCATCGTCATCATCATCATCATCATCATCATCATCAGCATCATCATCATCATCATCATCATCATCATCATCATCCTCATCCGCATCCTCATCCTCATCCTCCTCCGCCTCCGCCTCCTCCTCCTCCTCCTCCTCCTCCTGCTCCTCCTCCTCCTCCTCCCTCTCCTACATTGGTAGTGGTGGTGGAAAATCGGCTCATCAGAAGATGTTTGAATAAACAGTGTCCCTCCCTTTCCCTCCCCTCCCGCGTCCAGCTCGGCAAACCTCAGGGGAACTGACGAAGCTCACCCAGTCGCACCCCTGGCGACCAGAAGGGGACCACTGGAAGTACCAGAGTGTCCAGCAGCGGCGCCGTTACGACAGCGTCTGGACCTGCTCCTGGCAAGCTTCACAACGATAGCTTGCACCACATCATTCTGTCTGACATACTGCCAGGACGAAGGGGGGTAGGCCAGAGACCAGAGACAGGCCACCGGATTGTCCAGAGCGCCACACAAAGGCGCCGTTACGACAGAGTGTGGACCTGCCCCTGTGACCAACCAGCCGCTGTGCACTGGTGAGCTGCCCAGCCAACCGGTGTCCACTCCCAGTCTACAATGCCCTGGTAACCCTTTGGTCCAGACCTCCTGCCTAATTTCATCACCGTCGGAAACGTCAAGCATAAAAACAGCTTGCCTCACACCCTCCTGACCGGCACTCCGGGCGTTTCGCAAAGCGGGCAACGTTTTTCCACCACCGTCAAAATCATGCGCGGGTCGCCTGGATCCAGGTCAAGAACACGGAGAAATTGGAAGTGTCGGAATCGAGCTGCACATACGGGATTAGTCCCACCAGCCCTCTGGGAGTAGGTGGTCCAGAGCGGTCTCCCTTCCAACCCCTCACTCTTCCCCTTCGGGGAGGGTTTTTTCACTGCTCCTTATTAATCTACACCACCTCCACCACCCGGCCAGCGTCCAACCAGGAACCATGCCGACACCATGAGGGCCCGCCCCCCACCATCCCTGTCCAAAAACTATACAAACCGCACTCGGCCTCCACATGTGGAGCATGCGCGGCCAACCCGATGCGCCCCCCCCTTATCATCCCTGCGACACAAACAATGCAAAGTACACTTTGGGGCAAAGTCTTGAGTCATGCTCGTGAGGCCCGCGAACATTTTGCGGTGTTTTTGACCGGGAAGGCGGGGGTGCCAGCATATTCCATGCCGTGCGCAGGGCGAACATCCCTGATAAAGAAGAATACAACATGCACCGCGCGGCTAAATCTGGATCATGCGCGGCCATCCCGCGATCACTGTCAAATGGTTTTTGACAGGGACGGCGGAGGTGGTGGCGCGTGGTCTGCTGTGCGCAGGCCCACCAGACACAATGATGGGCATTGGTTTTCGACAAGGACGACGGGGGCCGACATGGTTCCAGATGTGTGCTGTCACGTGCGCGGGCGCACCTGACGCACTCTGCACGTGCCCCGAACATGGCGCACCTGGCGCGGCTGGAGTGTGCGGCACACCTGGCGCACTCGGAGCACTTGGGGCATCTGGCGCACCAGGCGTGCCTGGCACGCTCGGGCACCAGGGGTGCCTGGCGCGCGTGGCGCCCCTGACACGCGTGGCGCACCTCGCCCAAGCGTCGCGCACCTGGGGTAGGCTTTGGTTCCCAGCAGCTGCCCATCCAAAGACGACCGCTGAGCATGCTCAGGCTCGGATTTTACGTATGTGTTGGGAAAGCGGGTGGGAGTGAGCTAGACGGCTTGCGAGCGGGTGGGTAGCTTGACCCCTCCCCCGACCCCCTCCCCTGGACCTGGACGGGTGGGCTTCGCGCGGCGTTGGAGCGTCCAGCATGGCCCAAGATGGTTCCAGGAGGACCTCAGAGAGCCCAACATGACCTCCAACAGCTCAATGTAATCTAAAATGGCCCAACTATGGCTCCCAGAGGCCCCAAGACCGCTCCAAGACGGTTCCGACTGGCCACGGAGCCTCCCCAAGAGGCCGCCAAGAGGCCCAAACACATGAAAAAACGAAGGGGCATCGATGATGCTTGCCTTCTCGCTTTTTCGCTTCCGGTGGCCGTCCGAGGTTTCAAGAAAGCTACAATAGGGGCCATGAAGGCCCCAAGAGAGCCCAAGAGAGCCCCAACACGGCCCCAAGAGCGTCCAAGAGGGCTCCGAAAGCGCCCCAAGAGGGGCCCAGGTGGCGATTGCTGGGGCTCACGAGGGGGAACGCAACTGGCCCTGCCATCTCGTTGGATCGATCTCCTCCAAGATGGCTCCAAGAGCGTTCCCAAGGCTCCCAAGAGCGCCTCAAGAGGGCCTCAAGAGGCGTACAGGAGGCCTCAAAAGGCGCCCAAGAGGCCTTCAAGAGGCTCCCACGAGACCCCCAAGAGGCCCCAAGAGGCTCCCCGAAGCACCCAGGACGCTCCAAAGGCCTCGGGGACCGCCAAGAGGCCCCCAAGACGCTCCAAGAAACCTCCAAAAGCTTCCAAGAAACACCCGAGGAGACTCTGAGAGGCAACTCGCATGGGCGCGAAGACGAGTCGAACGCCGTGCAAGCTAAGGCGGGCCGCGCCGACTGGTGGGGATACTTTTTCCTCGCAGCCGCAGGCGAAAGCGCCGGCGGCGTCAAAGGTCAACCCGGGCGACAGGCGAAGCCTAATTACCCAGCGGACGCACTCACGGCTGCCGAGGCTGCCGCCGAGGGAGGCTGAGAGGCGCCTGGGACTGAAGGCAGGCTGCGAAAGCTGCCAGGAGAGCCAGGCGGCCAGCGTGCGGGCAACCCAGAGGCGAGACCACCGGGAAGAGGCCGAACTGAACCTTGTCGCACCAGGCGCCAGAGGTAGACGCGCCACCGAACGTGGCGAAGCGCTGGGCTGCGCGAGCAGTCCAGCGTCAAGAATCTTTGAAGGCTGCGGCGGGACTGGCTGCGCATTCTGTACGGGCAAAACTCGTCGGAATGCTGGGTTACCTCTTTACGGAACGTTGCCGTGCATAGCGGGACGCATCTTTTATCATCTCAGCATTGTATCTTTTCTGGGCGTCCACGGTGTCCTCGGAGCCGAAGGCCAGATCAGGCTGGTACCCCGGGAGGGAGGTCATACGACACCTCATGGATCCTGGACACCGCTCGTAGTCTTCAATAATCAACTCCCAGAGCTCATCGTGCCCCATCCTTTCATTCGCTGAGCGAACTGTGCTGATGTAGGAGGTGCTGCCTGCGGACGCCCGAAGCTGGCCAATACCAGGCATGTTGCAACGGTCCCCCTCCCCAGCGAGGCG